TTGACAAATGAGGAAACTGAGGCAAACAGGGTGAAATTACTTGCTCAAGGTTACACAGCCAGTAAGTGTCTGAGGCCAGATCGGGGCTCAGGAAGATGAGTCTTCCCAACTCCAGGCCCGACACTCTATCCACTGCAGTGCCACCTAGCTGCTCTCTGTTTGCTGTGGATACTATATTAACAAACCCCAGAGAGAAAGGAGGGCATCAACACCTATTTTATTTTCTATCATCTCTATCTAGGAGAATGAGCCTCCAACAGAAAAGCCAAAACAAACGTGGTTAAGAGGGAATCAAATCCCCTGACACATGAGGCAAGGAGAGAGCACCTGGCCACTTTCAATGAGTTTATGTCTTCTGGCCTTGCTGGTTTAGGGCACTGTAAGAACTTATTGATGTGATCCTGGAAACTGGGAGAAGTGCTGAAAAGACTTAGAGATGGACAAATCTGGGCCCAACTTTTTAAAAGAGGGGAAAAGAAACTACCAGCTAAAGAGGCTGATGTTGATCTCTGGCAAAAATTCTAGGACAGTTAAGAAGCAGTTGGTTCATGAGGCCTTAGAAAGGGGAGAGATGATGTCAAGGAAACAATTGACTATGAACAAGTGATGCCCAATTAACTTTATTTCCACTTTTGCAGTGGTTACTGATGGTCTGAATGACGAGCTGAATCAATTAACTTCATTTCCACTTCTGCAATGGTTATTGGATGGACTAGGGCAGTGTCATGAGCCAGTCAGCAAAGTCCAGCTGGATACAGTTACAGAGATGCAAAGCTAGTTGAATGATGGTACCCAAAGAGCATATCCCAGAGATGTTGCGGGTTTGGCTCTAGGCCACAATAAAGCAAATAGCACAATAAAGCAAGTCACGGGAATTTTTTGGTTTCCCAGTGCATATAAAAGTTATGTTTACATTAAACTGTAGTCTATTAAGCATACAATAGTATTACATCAAAAAAATGTACCTACCTTAATTTAAAAATACTTTATTGCTAAAAAAAAAAATGCTAATCATCATCTGAGCCTTTAGTGAGTTGTAATCTTTTTGCTGGTGGAGGGCCTTGCCTCGATGTCCATGGCTGTTGACTGATCAGGGTAACTGTTGAAGGTTGTGGTGGCTGTGACAATTTCTTAAAATAAGACAACCATGAAGTTTCCCGCATCACTTGATTCTTCCTTTCACTGAACACTCAGTGGCCATTGCGGGGTTATTAATTGACCTAATTTCTATATTATTGTGTTTCAGGGAATAGGGAGGCCAGAGGAGAGAGAGAGAGATGAGAAAATGGCTGGTCGGTGGAGCAGTCAGAACACACAACATTTACTGATTAAGTTTACCTTCTTATACGGGTACAGTTTGTGATACCCCAAAACACAATTACGATAGTACAATGCAAGGTTGCCACAAACCTTTAATTTGTAGAAATGCAATATCTGCAAAGTGCGATAAAGCGAGGTATGCCTATACTAGATCAGTATTAATCTAGACGCAGCACTTCCTAAACTGTGTGTCATGACCCCATATGGGGTTTAAGAAGTTTAAGTTTGAAAAGCACTAATGGGATCATGAGCGGAAAAAGTTTAAGAATCCCTGATCTAGAGGAAGGCTTCTAGTGATGTGCTGCAGGTATTTATCCCTGGTTCTGGTTTTTTAAAACAGGTTTATGAAAGACTTTGACAAAGTCATACATGGAACACTCATCACATTTGCTTATGACACAAATATGGAAGTGAAATTCACAATGTTAGATACTGGAACTGAGATCTAAAAAGTTCTCAATGTTGTACACAGTAACAGTCATGTTATGCAATGACTAATGTTGATAGACTTAGCCCTTCTCAGCAATGCAAGGATCTAAGACGTCTCCAAAAGTCTCATGCTGGAAAATGCTATTCACATCCAAAGAAAGAACTATGGAGTTTGAATACAGATTGAAGCATACTATTTGCTCTTTTCTTTTCTTTTGTTTTCTCTTTCTTATGGTTCCTCCTATTGGTTCTAATTCTTCCTTACAACATGATTAATGTGCAAATATGTTTAATAGGAATGTATATCTATAGCCTATATCAGATTGCATGCCATCTTGGGGAGGGAGGTGGGGAGGGAGGGGGAGAAAAATTTTAAACTCCAAAGCTTATGGAAGTGATTGTTGATAAATCAAAATAAATTAATAAAAAATGACAGGTTGGAATGATGATCTGAATCAATCAAAACTAAATTTAATAAGGACTCACCTTTATATTGTCTTAAGGTCAATAAAGTCTTTGCCTCACAACCATTCTGTCAAGTGGGTAGTGCAAATGTTATTATATATGTATTACATATATATATATATGCATTATATATTTTTCAGATGAGGAAACCGATACTAAAAGAGGTGAAATGACTTGCCTATGATTACAGAGCTTGCTTATTTCTGAGGCAGAATGTGAAGCAGTGTCCTGACTCTAAGCACCACACTCTATCTCTGCCACTATTATCATAGGAATAACAATAAAAGATTACACCTGAATTAAGTACAAAATGGCGACATGGTGGTCAGACGGTGACTCATGTGGAAGACTTGAGGCTTTAATGGACTGCTAACTCAATGAGCTGGGAATATAACACAGCATCCAAGTAAACTCACAAGACAAGACATTACATTCTTCCTGATTTAAGTCTCATCTTGCTAGTATGTGCTTTTTAATTATGCTCTAGTTATAACACGTTTCTGTTTCATTTTCCCACCTAAATTCCAAGTTCCTTAAGGGCAGATACTGTTTCTTCTACTTTTCTTTTAAAGAAAACTTTTCATATTGTGAAGTACAGTGAGACACCTTTATTAGGCACACAATAAATTCTTGTTGAATAAATATAGTTACCAGGGATGAAGCAGAACGCGCTGGTGCTTCCAGTAAAATAACATTAGTTGAATCCGATTCAAGGACAAAACTACGGTTTCCATCCCACCTTCTCCAGCAGATTCTCCTGTATGATACCCCACTCTCTCACTCATCTTTAAGCTCTTCCAGTCTCCTGGCTACTTCCCTGCTCCCTATAAGCACCCGTCCTCAAAACCCCCTCATTTGGCTCATCCTTCGCTGCTGGCTATATTTCTCTAAATTCCTCGAGCAGGCCATCTATAACCAGTGCCTCCATTTCCTTTCCTCTCATTCTCTTAATTCTCTGCAATCTGGTTTCTGACCTCATTGTTCAACTGAAACTACTCTCTCCAAAGTTACTAATGATCTCTTCATTGCCAGATTCTCAATTCTCTTCCTTCTTGACCTGTCTGCAGCCTTTGACACAGTTCATCCCCCTCATCTCTTTGATACTCTCTTCTCTAGTTTTTTGGGGACACCACTCTCTCCTGGCTCTTCTATCTGTCTGACCACTCCATCCTAGTCTGGAGCTTCATCCAGGGCACAACTGCTAATGGCAGATATCTCTCATGCCTCTGTCCTGGGCCCTCTTCTCCTCTCCCTCTATATAATTTCATTTTGAGATCTCATGAGCTCCCATGGATTCAATGAAACATATTTACATTAATGATCTCAGATCTACTTGTCCAGCTTTACCTTCTCCACTGATCTCCATTTTGGTATTTCCAACTGCCTTTCAGACATCTTGAACTGGATGTTCCATATACATCTTAAATTCAACATATCCAAACCTGAACTCATCATCTTCCCCAACCCCCCCCCCCAAATTCTCATCTTGCAAACTTTCCTATTTTTGTCAAGGGCACCCCCTTCCAGGTCCCTCAGACTCCCAACCTAGGACGACACCTAGTTCCTCACTCTTTCTCATTTCCATATCCAATCACTCTTTCTCATTTGCATATCCAATCAGTTTCCAAGTCTTGCCAATCCATTCCACCTTTGGAATTCTACTACATTCTACCTTTGGAATTCATTCTACCTTTGGAAAACCTCTCATATATGACCCCTTCTCTCCTCTGCCACTGCTGACACTAGTGCAGGCCCTCATCAACTCATGCCTGGACTACTGCAATAGCTGCTAGTGGGTTTGCCTGCCACAAGGCTCCAGTCCATTCTTCATTCAGCCACCAGTGATCTTCCTAAGCATAGGTCTGCCCATGGCATCCCCCTACTCAATAACTCCAGTAGCTCCCTAGTTCTTCCAGAATCAAGTATCAAAATCCCTTGTCTTATAAACCCCCCCCCCCCGCAGAACCTACCTCCTTCCTACGTTTCCAGTCTTCTTATACCTAATTCTGCTCCATATACTCAGCAGCTCAGTGAACTGGCTTTTTTCACTGCTCCTTGTACAAGACACTCCATCTTCAAACTCGGGCATTTTCCCTGCTTGTCTCCTGTGCCTGGAATTCTCTTCCTCCCGGTCTCGCTCTTCTGGCTTCTCCCCAACCCCCGCTAAACCCCCCACCTTTATGCTCTTATCTCCAGTCTGGCCTGTCTACAGTTTGTTGCACAGAGTTGTTTTCATGTTTTCTTCTTCGTAAGGCCGTGAGCCCCTTGAGAGCAGGGACTGTTTTTTTGCCTTTGTGTCCCTAACATTTAGCATAGCACCTGGCACACAGTAGACACTTTAATAAATGTGTGTTGACAATTCTGATATTCAAAAAGAATGAGGTCAGTGGGAAGCAGTGTGGTGCCGAACTTGAAGTCATGGGACCTGAGTTTTGTATCCTGGCTCTGCAACTTTCTACCTATGCGACCACGGGCAAGTTAATTCACTTGTCTGGGCCTCTGTTTCCTCATCTCTAAAATGAGGCCACTTGTTTAGATGGCCTCTGAGGGCCCTTCCAGCTTTAGATCTACGGCCTACATGTGACCCTGGATGAGTTCTTTCCCCTCCCTGGGCCTCAGTTTCCTCCTGTGTAAAATGAGGGTGTTGGACTCTACAGTCTTTCCAGCCCTGGATTCTAGGATCCTCTGGTGATATATAACCTCAGTGTCTTACCCCTTAATTCAATAACCAACGATCCACATCATCTCATATTATACATATGAGATCACATAAAGAAACAAACAAGTATGAGAAACCCAATGAGAAACTAATTTAATATACAATATACCTTCAAAATACTGAAAAAGAAGAAAAAAATCCAATCACAAAGACATGATTACTGACTTAACAATTAGGTATTAGCTATTTTTGGAACTATATAAGTAAGAATTATTTGGAAGGTATGGTTATATGCCCTTAGTGTAGATGCAAGGTATTTTGCTCCTGAAAGGTGATTTCTCCAGTTGGTTGAAGAAATTAGCTCAAAGTACTTTTCTGTTCTGTTTTTTTGTGTGTCTGGAAAGAAATTCACACTTCATATGAGGCTCAAACTTGACGACCTTCTAAGACCCATCTAAGGTTCTCTTGCTTCCCTTCTTTGCAACTGGGCCATGGTATAAAATGAATGGGAACTATTGAAATTACCAACAAATTCTTGGCTTCGCTAGGCAAGATCAAAATTGTGAAGGTCAAAGGCATTGGCAGGTCACTTCTATGAACCTGTCCATAGCAGCTGCTGAGGATAATTGGGGGTTTTCTGTGGCACCATGAAATGGACATAAACAAACCATTTTACGTAATGAATGACCCAGGCTTCCTAAACTTGAAATCAAAGATTCTGGAAACATTTTCATCCTTTTTTCTTTGAAAACCCAACCCATTCTGAGGTACTTAAAAGGGGTGAAGATGAAGCCATGAACTCTTCCACTTAGAAGGTTTGGGCCAAACTATTTAGACTGGGTCTGTGTTGGTCTGCGTGAATTTTGCAGTCATTGCTAGTTGGTGCAAGCACCAGATACTGGGAAGCAAGGCAAGGGGCAGCGTGATGTCTGATCTGCTAATGTACGCTCTGACCTATATTCTGCAAAGGTTCATAACACAGCAAACCTGTTTCTTTGCTTTGCATCTATTCGCCATAGATGTGAGTCTGATTCTTGCTTTGGCAGACTGACCTTGGCAAGCTTTGAGCTGGGACTGACTGCCCAGTTGCATCCCTGGGATACCAGGTATAATTCATGAGATAGTGATGGAGAGCTCCAGGCACTTTAATCAAAGTAGGCTGCCAAGTCTGCAGTGGTGCAGCCATGAATAGGAACAGGGGCTCACCGATCAGATGGTGAAAGGACCAAGCTTCTTCTTTTTTTCAGGACAATGAACAGAGGAAGCCTCTTCTGATCACACCGAGGTCGTGAGGCTGTACATACATGTATGCTTTGAACACACCTTTCAGCCTTATTCAGTTTTACAGAGTGGGTTTTCTTGCCTCAAAATTGCCGTTTTTGAGGAACTTTTTTAATTCCCGTAATTCTTGTGGCTGTAAACTCTGATCTACACCTGGGGTAAGCTTATAGCTCAAAGGGGACACAGTGTAGCCATTTTGATAAAGGTAGATTCTCTTGCAAAACTCAAAGGTGCTAAACATAACTCCAAAATATGGGACTATCTGTAAAAAAAGAAATAAACAAAAAAACCCCCAGAAAAATCAGGTTAAAATCCAGTTAAAGAATTACAAATTATAAAATAATGCTTTGACAAAACCATAGGCTAATCTATATGTGCCAGTGGAGGCAGATGCAGTAACTACTACAGCACAGCTAGAATGTCAGCTCCTTGAGAGCAGGCACTGGCTCATGCTTGTCTTTGTATTCCCAGGGCCTGACACATACTAGGTGCTTAATAAACATTTGTTGATCAAGTGAGATTTAGTCTCCCCACCTCCATAGGATGTGATCTACTTGAGGGCAAGTTCATATTTGTTTCTATATCCCCAGGGCCTAGTTTAATGCCTGGTATTTAGTAGGTGCTTAATGATTGCTTATAGATTGACTAGCCTGGGAAAGGGGCATCATGAGATCTGGCACAGAGAGGAGAGGAGGAGAAAGAAGGGATTCGGACTATACAACAGACAGGAAGCCGATGGCAGAAATACCATATCTGTTGTTAATCTGTGTGCAGATGGGTTTTGTTCGATTGACCATCTACTCATCAAGAGAGATTTTAATTTCTCAAATCTCTTGGAACACCATTCAGTCCCAATAATGGTTCATGCCTGTACAGTGCTCTAGCTTCCAAAGACCTTTCCTGTTAACAGTCCTATGGAGGGCAGGCATTATTAATCCCATTATGGGTTAACGAGATGAGAAGACTGACACTCAAGAGATGTTAGGCAACTCTCAAGTTGCCTCAACCAGGAAGTGTCAGATCTGGGACGCAAACCCAGGCCTTCTGACTCCTAGACTTTCCACTACTCCATGTTGTCCAAAATACTTCAGGACTGATGTGGGCATTCTTTCCTTCTGCAAAGCTACTCGTCTTCTTTTCCCACAGTCCTCCTCATGCTTTGAGACCACTGCTCTTACTATAGAGACTTGAGTACTCAGGGTGAGTGATTCCATGAAGCCCCATTGTGGGGCCAAGAATCGAAGGTTTCTGAGAGAGGGGAAGGGAGAGAGTCTCATGAAAACAGGATGGGGTACCTAACCTTCTCACCTTTAGCAAGTTGGCAGTCAGTCCATTCCAGAGGGCCAGCACACCCTGGGCCTTCACTACCTGTCGGAAGCAGTCCATGGCCCCCGAGAAGTTGGTGTCTACTTGACCACAATGAGGGAGGCAGTGACTCTGGGCCTGGGAGGGAGGAGAGGGACAGTTTGGTCACTAGGAGACATAGGAACCAAATAAGTAGAAATGAAAGCTCATGTTGGAGCTCTGAATGCTGTTATTTGTTCCCAAGATTATATACGAGAAAGGACCAACCAGCCACAGGTTTTACCTGATACCACAGAATGTAGCAGCAGCATTTCCTGGTCCCCTTGAATTTACCAGATGATCCATCTCAAAAGTGCAAGCAAGATTACCTCCCCACACACACACACACACACACACATACACACTCACATACAAGGTAATGAAGACAAGCTCTGAAGTAAGGTCAGCCTGTTTACTGCACCCACATAGTATGCTTCAGAGGTTGGAGGATGCTTCGGGAGAGCCAAGAATCAAATCAGAAATTCAGGCCATGGACCAAAAAATGGTACCTTTGATTTTCTGCTCATTTGTTGGCTTGCATTCTCTGAGTCTTTTTGCAGCAGATATTTAGGGGAAAGGAATCATCTCATTTTATTAAGCATCAGCAGAGGAAAGTTAAGTACAAGCATCACATGGCTGACCACAGAAAGAGAGACAAAGTAGTTCTTATTCTTCCCAGTCCCACTATTGAGGATAGAAAGCCTTCTGAAACTCTGAATTTGACTTGCCAGGAGTCAAAGCCTACTTCCTACTTTGCTGACTGGCTGGCTCCTAGACCATTGACTTGCTTTGGAACATGGTAACCCCAAATCAGATTGTTAGAAGATTACCAATCCAGAGCTGGAAAGAATCTCAAAGAGTCCGACTCTTTCGTTTTGCAAATGAGGAAACTGAGGCCCAGGGAGAAGTTAATTGCTCATGATCCTCATGAATTCAATTCAGCAAATATTTATCAAATGCCAACTATATGCAAAGCATTGTCCGAGGTGCTGGAGTGAGTGGCAGCTTTAGGAATGAGAATTCCCATCTCCAGTGTGTTTCCACTACATCACAATGCCTTTCTTCAGCTATAGTTCCTGTCATAACAACCAGCAAACCATTCCTTTTTTTTTTTCTTTTTTGGTGAGGCAATCGGGGTTAAGTGACTTGCTCAATGTCACACAGCTAGTAAGTGTCAAGTGTCTGAGGCTGGGGATTTGAACTCAGGTTCTCCTGACTCCAAGGCCAAAGCTCTATCCACTGTGCCACCTAGCTGCCCCCAGCAAACCATTCTTTACTTAAACTGGACAAGCAGAATCTACACAATCAGGCGAGAAATGTATCACGGTTTTACAAAACTGGGACACAGTACCATCAATGAGCTTTTGTTATCTTTACAACAAAACATTCCTTGGGTGTGGATGCCATGGGACACACATGAATTACTGATTCTCTAGGATTAGAGTCTATCTATGACATGATGATCATCGTATGACTGACACAGACCAAGTACAACGTTGTGTCGATGGTGCCACGCATGCCGAGCTTCGAACAGTGAACTTAGATGCTTATTACTGAAGCACAATCCATTCAGAATTTGGAAACAACTATGTTTGGCTCTTGGTTATGTGGGTCTGGGTTTCAAATATTGCCTGGATTTGGGCTGTTGTCCTAGAATGGCCAATTTCGGTTCCATAACTTGCATTTTGACTTCCTATTTGGGCTCTCTCTTCCCATTAGAATGTAAGTCCCTTGAGAACAAGAATTGTCTTGATTTTCTATTTTTATCCCCAGCCCTTAGCACAGTGCTTGGGTCCAAGTCAGTTTTTTTTTTTTTTTGGTTAGGCAATGGGGTTAAGTGACTTGCCCAGGGTCACACAGCTAATAAGTGTTATGTGTCTGAGGCCAGATTTGAACTCAGGTCCTCTTGAATCCAGGGCCAGTGCTCTATCCACTGTACCACCTAGCTGCCCCCCAAGTCAATTCTTAATAAGTGCTTTTTTCCATCCATTTATTCAGATCGGGCTGGATTGTGAAGCAAGAGGTAGTGAAAAAAATTGGATGGGGAGCTGAGAACCCAGAGTTCTGGCTTTGCTTTTGCCACTGGCTCATTTTGTGACTTTGGGTCAATCACTTCAGCTCTTTAGGCCTTGTAAAATGGTGAGTGGAAAAAAAGGAGTGGGGTAGCCTGGACAGTCCCCAAGGTCCCTTCCACTTCTGAGCGTCTGTGATTCTATTCCCTAAATCCAGAAAAAATTTGGCCCTATCGGGAAAAATCTGACCCTCTCAGGGCACTGCAATGACATTATAATGGTAGAAAAACAATGCTGAAAAGTCAGTCAATCAGCTGTTACTGTGACAAAGCAGTACAAGGATACCCAAACTGAGGCAAACTTTTGATTCTTCATTCTTCCTCACACAGGTCTCAAGGCAGCAATGACTCAATCCACCTACTGAGTTCACCATAATGAATAAGGATACATAGAGATAGGGCCTGGACCAGTGATTTCCTTGGTGTAGGGAACTCCCAGATGGGGAAATCCCCTCTACCAAAGCAGATATAAACTTTTTGAGCAACTTATGGTCTTAGAGAGCTGTCAGGGACCCTGAGAAGTTAAATGACTTACCCAGGATCATATGGTTCATAAACAAAAATTGAATTTAGGTTTTCTTCAGCTCCAAGGCTGGTTTCTTATGTCCTACCCCATACCACCTTAGGGGAGGAGACATAGTAGGTGAATGTCAGCTCCTTTTAGGTAGAAACTGTTTCATTTTTTGTACTTATATCTTCAGCACATAGAACAATGCCTGGAACATAACAGGTTCTTAATAAATATCTGTTGAAAATGCCTGCTGATTCTTCTACTTGTTACTTACTAGTGATTTCTGTCTCAAGGGCAAGTATAGGGCTTATCTTCCCCCCTCCAAAGCTGTAAACTTAAACAGGCAGTTTTCAGAAGACGAAATCAAAACTATCCATAGTCATATAAAAAAATGCTCTAAATCACATTGATTAGAGAAATGCAAATTAAAACAACTCTGAGGTACCACCTCACGCTTATCAGATTGGCTAATGTGACAGAAAAGGAAAATAATAAATGTTGGAGAGGATGTGGGAAAATTGGGACACTAATGCACTGTTGGTGGGGTTGAGAGCAGTTTGGAACTATGTCCAAAAGGCAACCAAACTGTATATACCCTTTGACTCAGTAATACCACTACTAAGTCTGTATCCCAAAGAGATCGAAAAAAAAAGACCTACATGTACAAAAACATTTATAGCAGATCTTTTCGTGGTAGCAAAGAACTAGAAATTGAGGAGATGCCCATCAGTTGGGGAATGGTTGAACAAGTTGTGGTATATGAATGTAATGGAATACTATCGTGCTATAAGAAATGATGAGCAGGCAGACTTCAGAAAAACCTGGAAAGACTTACATGTACTGATACAAAGTGAAATGAGCAGAACCAGGAGAACATTGTACATAATAATAGCAATACTGTACAATGATCAACTATGAATGACCTAGCTCTTCTCAGCAATACAATGATCCAACAAAATTCCAAAGGACTTATGATGGAAAATGCTATCCACATCCAAAGAAAGAATTAAAAGCATAGTGTTTTCACTTTATTTTTTTTAGTTAGTTTTTCCCTTTTGGTCTGTTTCTTCTTTCACAATATGACTAATATGGAAATATGCTTTACATGATTGCACATATACAACCTACATCAAATTGGAGGGAAGAGGGAGGAAGAAAAATTTGGAACTCAAAATTTTTTTTTCAAAAATTTTTAAAATGAATGTTAAAATTATCTTTATGCATAATTGGAAAAAATAAAACACTCTTTAAAATTTTTTAAATTATACACATACACACACACACATAATTCTGAACTTAAATACCAAAAAGGGGCATTCCCCTCCCACACACAGTAGAACACAAAAGAGGATTCTTTACAAACCGTGAATGTCCATTTCATACCACTTGCTTTATTAAAAGAAGTATATAGTTCAGTGGATAGAGCACCGGCCCTGAAGTCAGGAGGACCTGAGTTCAAATCCGGCCTCAGACCAAACACATGACACTTACTAGCTGTGTGACCCTGGGCAAGTCACTTAACCCTAACTGCCAAAAAAAAAGTATATAATAAATTCTACATATTGCTTTCAAAACTGTCCTGCTTCTCTGTTTTCTTTCTCAACATCTTTCTGTTCTCTTCTATGCCTTTTTAAGGGTGTTACAATAGCCTTCTTCTTTTTGGCATCATAACTGGTAGTTCTTTTCTCTCCACCATGGCCATACCCCTCCCCCCATTTAAAAATTAAGAGAAAAAACCACTTGTAATACATTAAGTATAGTCTCTGCATCTTGTGGCTATACACTGTGAGGAGGTGTGTAACATTTCATCACCGGTCCTGCAGAGACATGGTTGGTCATTGTACTGATCAGAGTTCTTAAGTCAAAATTGTCTATCTTTATAACATTGATGACCTTGTAGAAATTATTCTCCTGCTTCTGCTCACCTCATTGTTTCAAGTCATACTACTCAGGATTCTTTCAAATTGTCTCTTTCAACAGAACAAATCTCTTCCTTCCCTCCCACCCCATCACTAGGACCTCTGTTTTAAACTCTCCCGATATCTTTACTACACTTGTTTCTTCTCCCCCATTAGAATGTTTATTGTTGAGACATTTTCAGTTGGGCCCGACTCTCTGTGACCCCATTTGGGGTTTTCTTAGCAAAGATAATGGAGTGGATTGCCATTTCCTTCTCCAGCTCATTTGACAGATGAGGAAACTGAGGTAAATAGGGTGAAGTGACTTGCCCAGGGTCACACAGCTATTAAGTGTCTGAGGCTGGATTTGAACTCAGGATGATGATGAGTCCTTCTGGTTTTAAGCCCAGTGCTCTATCTACTACAATGTGACCTAACTGCCCAATAGCACTGCATTACCATACTGCTCCTTCCAATTGATTTATTCTATTAAAAATCATTTTTCCCCCTTTAGGATTATACTCAGCTTTGCAGTATAAGTTATTCTTGACTGTAAGCCCATCTCTTTTGCCTCTTGGAATATTATATTCCAAGATCTCTTGTTTATAGTAAAAGCTGC